TCCTTTTTATAGCTAATCACAATCTCTTAGTTTTGAAGGCCAGCAATGGGGCTAAATTATGTGCATGGGGGGGCTCTGGCAACCTGAAGACTTCAGCAAGTAAAGAAAAAAGAACAGAAGAAGATGGATGGAGATGATAGATAGTAAAAGGAACAAATAAAGCATGTTTGATACATGCTGCAAACACCTGTCTGCTTTAATCAGTCTCATTCTCTCGTTAATACTGGAAGGGACCTTAGTTCCCATTTTACAGATTAGGCAACTGAGGTCAGAGTGGTCAAGCAACTTACTATGGGACAGTAGTATTAGATATAATACTGCAGAATAAGATTCATGATCATCACCAGTTGATATTGGTTGAGTGCAGGTCTAATGCTTTGCATCTATTTCACATGAACCCCTGTCATCCTCAAACCACCCAATCAAGTAGGTATAATTATTGCTCCATTTTATGGATGAGGAAGACAAGGATCAGTGAGATGCAACAACTTGATCATGGCCACACAGCCAGAAAGTGGCAGAGCTCAGGTTTGAACTCGTTTCTGTTTTGCCTATGAACTGTCACTTAAAAAAAAACAGCCTTTTCAAAAGATAACACATGTACAGAAAAGTGTTTGATATGTAAACATAAGTTTCAATGACTTATCACAAACACCTGTTTAGGTACTAAGCAGATCATAAAAGAAAAGAAGTCCAGTGCTCCAGAAATCCCATGTACTCCTTCCCAGTTCCAACCCTCATCCTCCTCTGACATGCCATCATTCTGGCTTCTAACTGTACGTTGAGTTTTGCTTGCCTTCCAACATTCTATAGGTGAAATCAAACAGTGAGTACCCCTTGGTGTCTAGTTTCTATCACTTAATACTGTGCTTGGCAGATTCACCCTATGGTGGTGTACATCTGGAATCCAGTCTTTTTCATTGCTGTATAGTACTCCACTAGGTGATTATACACAGTGAACCTATCCTATTGTTGGTGAACATTTAGGTTGTTTGAGGCTATTTTAAAATGTGCTGTTATAAGCAACAAAAATTGCTGCTGTGAACAGTCTTGTATATGTCTTTTGGTGGAAATAAGTATTCATTTCTTTTGGATGTACACCTAATAGTGGAAATGCTGGTTAGAGGGAAGGGTTCATATTTAGCTTTGGTAGATAATGTCGCACAATTTTTCAAAGTGTTTGTACCAATTTACACTCCTAACAGCAGCATATTCAACTTCCAGTTGCTCCACATTCTCACCAGCACTTGGAATTGTTGATCTTTGTCATTCTAGTGTAGTAGCATCTCCTTGCGGTTTTAATGGGCATGCCCCTAATTTCTAATTAGGCTGAGCACCTTTTAATGAGTTTATTGCCTCTCTGAACATCCTCTTTTGTGAAGTATCTGTCCCAGTCTCTTAAGCATTTGATTGGCTTGTCTGTCTGTTACTCACTGATTTTGTGGAAGTTTTAAAAATTTATTTATATGTTCTGAGTAGGACACCATAGTTATGTTGAAAATATCTGTTCCCATTCTATGCCTTGACTTTTCACTTTCTTAATGGTGCCTTTTAGTGAAGAGAAGTTCTTTTGACTGAAATGTATGAAATATGTCAGTGTTTTCTTTCCCTTATGAATAGAGCTTTTCCCCTTGTTGAAGTCTTTTCCTACTCCAAGGTTATAAAGATTGCCTCTGCTACAGGTGTCTATAAGCTTTGCTGTTTTGTGTTTCACATTTAGATCTACAACCCAGTTGGGATTTATTTTGTGTATGGTGTGAGGCAGGGGGATTGGAAAACTCATTTTAAAAATGGCAACTCTCCTTCCAGTGATCTGTAGACTCAATATCATTCCAGTCCAGTCACAACAGGTCTTTTGTCATTGTTGTATGAAGGGCCTGATAAACTGATTCTAAAATGTATATGCAGATTCAAAAGGCCAAGAATATCAAAGATAATCTTGCAGAGAAAACAGTGGAAGAAAGTGTTTTACCGCTATCAAGACTATTATAAAGCTATAGTAATTCAGACCATGTGATATTGACATGTAGATAACCAAAGTGACCAGCGGCACCACAGGGGGACGTATGCTTTGTGACAAAGGTGGACCCACAGAGCAGTGGGGGAAAGACAGTTCTTCCAATACATTGTCAGTGGGTCATCTGGACATTCATATGGGAAAACACAACATTGTTTCCAAAGCTCCCACTTTTCACCACTACACAACGCCATGGTACTCTGTTCTTTGTATAATGGTGACAGTAATGATTATAACGTCTTCATTATATATGTATATATCTTGCCAATTTCAAGCATTCCAATCTATTATAGTCCCCAAAACCCTAAGAAGCAGGCAGGGAAGACATTACTAGTCCTTCCATGGGTGATGAAGCAGAGACTCCAAGGGGTGAGTGACCAACCCAAGGACACTTGCTGTTAAGCGCTTGAGCCTCACCTGTTTGATTCCAAGCCTGGGGCTCTTTCCACTTGGTGAGGGGCCCAATTCCTGTTCTTAAGGGGGATTAGGGAGGGACAAGGAGAAGTGGAGATGGGATGGGGGCAACTGGAGGTCAATATCAGCCTTCTCACCTCCCCCACCATCCTTCGATGGATTCCTTAGCCAGATGTCAGTCCCCAGGCCTCTGCCCAGAGGAGGTTTGTCCTCAAGACAGAGCAAAGGGGTGTATGCATTCTGGTGGGAAGAGGAAGGCAGGCGAAAGACACAGAGGGTCTGCCATTTGGAATAATGCTGGTGACTGCAGAGGAGCAGAGAGGTGCGGAAGAGCTGGAGTTCTAATTCAAGCTTTGACATGTACTTGCTGTGTGTCTTTGAACAAATGGCTTCATCTTTCCGGGCTTCAGTTTCCTCATATTTAAATGCACCAATTCCAATACTTACCGTCTAAGACGTTTGTGAAGAATCAACAGGAATTGTGACTGTCACTTAGTAAGGACTCAACCATGGTTGGCAATCAATATTAGTATTGTTCAGATCTAACTTAAAAATTGTTCTAATAAAAGCAACAGCCGCCACTGATTGAGCACTTGCTTGTCTTTATCTCATGTAAAACTGGGGTCCAACCATAGCAAAAGGTTTATGAGTTGCATGTGTCAAGCCCTCACCATCTCCTAACACAGACTGGCAGGATACAGAATGGGTGTTTCTCTTTGTGCCAACCGCTTCGACATGTAAGTATAGAAAAAAGACTGGAAGGAAATACATTGAGATGCTAGTAATCATTATCTCTGGGCGATAGAAATGGGGTTGATTTGCTCTTCTTCACTTTTTTTTTTTAGTATTTTCTGAACTACCTATGTTAGACAAGAATTAATTTTATAATTGAGAGAAAATCACTCTGATAAAAGAAATGCAGATATGAATTCTCGCTGCTAGTCTCAACAGGAATAGAAATAGTCTGCTAGTGGCCAGTTTAGAGCCTCTCCTTGTGTCTCTCAAGCTTAACTGCTACTTTTCTAAGCTGTGCTAAACCTGGTGAGTCTCTTAACCTCTCTGGGCCCCAGCACGCTCATCTGAAATGCAGAGATGGAAGTAGCAGCCTTCTAGGGTTGTTTCAGTGACTTAATGAGATGTGTTTGAAATGGCGTGGCCAGTTGTCTGGCTCTGAGGAGGCTCTCGCTCAGTGGTGGCTCTTCCATGAGAGTTTCATGCCTTTCCTAGGGTTTTGCTGGAGGTCCTCTGAAGGCGGGCGTTATGTGTCCTCCCCACTTTACAGATGAGGATACAGAGGTTCAGAGGGAGTGCTGCGACTTGCCCAAGGTCACAGAGCTCGGAAGGAATCTTCTGAAACAGGCCTAGAGAGGGTAAATGATCAGCCGCAGGTCACACAGCTTAAACTTACTGCCTGTGCAGTTTGTAAAATGACAAACTTAACCCCACCCCCGAACAGAAAACCCTGTGTGCATTTATTGGCTGTTCACTATTTGCAAGGCACCGTGCTAAGCCTCTTGAACAAAACCAACAGCAGCAGCAACAAATACTCTGCCATTTATTCAATGCCAGGCAGCCTGGCACCCCCCCCCCCATAATCGTCTCAGTTAATTCTCCAAACAACCGTACGACGTGGGTCCCCGAGCCCATTTTACAGTCGAGGAAACTGAGGCTCGGAGGCTGGGCCCCTTGCCGGAGCTCTGCAGCAGGCCTGGCACCGGGTCTGCCCAGCTCCGCGGGAGGCTGCGGGAGGGCCGGGTGGCATGCAAGG